TTTAATACATATCCACGTTGACTCCGTGGCGCAGTTGCCATGGTATTGGCTTCGGCGTCGAGGGTCGTGGGTTCGATTCCCACACGGGACAACTATTTGTGTGACCCACAGATAATTGTTTCGGAATTGAGTATTCGTCCACGTTAATTTTATGTTTGCAAAACATCCTTACGATGCAGAATAAATGTTACGCTACAGTAAGGGCAATGTTTTAAAAAATAAATAAATAAGAAAATCTACATGCCATGAGTTATAACATAGCCCAATAAGGATATATAACATACTAGCTTTCGCCCGCGGCTTCGCTAGCGTTGAAGCCCTTAAATAAATATTTTTCAACCCTTTACAAAACTTTTTAACCGACTTCAAAAAAGAAGGAGGTTTCTCAATTCCACCGTATATATTTTTATATTTTTTATGTGTGTTCGCGGATCACTTCGTCGTTCATGGGCCGATTTTGATGATTCTTTTTTTTTTTGGAAAGGGGATATCCCAAAAGTGGTACCATGTTAAGGAAACCCGGATCTGATTATGACATCCCAGAAAAATCGAGGGCAATCCTCAAATGTTATAGGTATTAACAATGTTTATTATTAGTTTACGGATTGTAGTCGGTTTTTTTTTGTTAAAAGTTATACTTGTTCCCAAATAAAAAATAGCCTTTGTCCTTTCTCAGATTCTAGACTATATGTGTACCAAATTTCATTTAAATCGGTTCAGTAGTTTTGAAGTTAAAGCGGAACAGACAGACACAGTTACTTTCGCATTTATAATATTAGTATGGAAGTATGGATTTACACAAACACATAAATATAAATATATAATCATATAAACGGTACTGGCATAACGATAACATTTAACATTAATTTGTTAAGTTATACTGCCCTTGACGCGTTAAGGAAAAAAACAATGAGTGTTAATTTTTAAAAATACGCGCGCACGGTGACATGTAGTTATTTACACCAGGAAGTTATTCGGCGACATGAAATTAACACCATAACCATAAACATCACGACAATAACGTGTTGCGACATGTTGGTGTTAATTTTAGTTTATATCGATTTTGTTACGCCAACGTAGTACAACTCACGTGCGTACATAACTACACACACATTTTTACAAGCTACAATTTCCTTTAAATAAGGTAGGTCAGATACCTCCCCACGGATTGAGAGAATCGCCATACACTGAAAGCGAGTGTATATAGTAAACATATATTGTTTATAATAAACACAACTTGTACATCATATACGAAAGTGAACATATTATTACTGACACCGCGGTATAATCGCATCTTAAACCGCATTCGCTTTGCAACTTCATTTCCAGCAAGCTTAATTCGCTCCGCCTATAAATTGGACCACGCGCAGGCGTAGAAATACGCTGCTATAAATCACATGACTAACTTCGGCACCAGCGGTTGTGTGAATTACGCCGATGTGCTCTCGGAATACGAAAATTAAGACGGACGTGATATTAACGACGTTTTATTAATGTTATCTGTACAAATATAATAAAGCTAAAGAGTTTGTTCTTTTGTTTGAACGCGCTTTTCTCTGGAACTACCTGTCGGATTTTATTAAATCTTTTTGCATTTGACAGCCCAATTTTTGAGGAATGTTATAGCTTTAACATCACGCTACGGCCTACGGAGACGAAGCAGGAACGTTTATAGAGAATCGCTAGTAATAAATAACGCCAGAAGAAGGGATGGTTAGAAGAAGGGATTCGAACTCATTACTAATTCGGATAAGATCGACTTCCTCATCACTAGGCAGCCCTATACACTCTCGGCTTAAGTGAAAAGTTCTCAGCTTATTCAGCAAAGAATATGTACATACATCGTGCACTTAATCCGCTAACTTGACGCATGGCAGTCTAAGTAATGCGAACTGACGGCAAACTTATGTAACTTATAGTCTACATTCAGTGATCTGTTTGCATACTAGAATTCAAAGTTAAGAGCTGGCATATTTTTGTATAATTATTAAGTTTATTAAATAAATAAAAAAAATTATGAGCAATTTTTATTCGGTAAGGAAGCGTAAGTGACCAGGCAGTACACCCGTGGAATTCTAGATACCAAATAAGAACTTTTAAAAACCCTTTAGAATGAACTATGGTTCCTCACTCTTTCTGAGTAAGTGTAAACCCAGATACGGAAAAGTTTTCTGTGGGTCACATAAATACTTTTTCCGTGTGGGAATCGAACCCACACCCCCGGTGCTGAAGGCAACCTAGCAACTGCACCACTGCGTCATAGAGATGAAGATTTATCGAACCAAACTGCAATAATTTCGCGCAGAAATATTATAAAATAATGAATATTTCAATGAGGGTTTATACCGCTTTTATAATGTCCTTTCAACCGTCCCTTTTTATCGTATTTCATCGGACACAGCTTATCGGGGGTTCACCTAGAAAATACGCCTAGCAAAATCCTCCTTGATCCTTTATTGGATATGGCAAACGAACGGATGGATGTTTGACCTGATTTTAAGTAATAATCACTTGCCATAGAGGTCTACAACTTCCTTGGAGTAGCAATTGCCAAACCTTAGAGTTGTTTACATTTACCAGGGTAATGCATCAACTAATTCTTCGGGTATACCTGCGCTTTTGTTTGATGAAATAGAATAAAGAAATGAACGAAAAAAAGTTATCATAAGTGCACTGCGCTCCCGAACGCGAATTTCCGATGCGGGCCAAAAAGCTGCCAAGCTTAAATTTGACTCGGCTGGTCATGTCTTTTGGGCTACTACCAAAGCTACTACCAAATGGGTCCCACAAAATGTTAGACGGGCGGCAGGCCCTGACGGAGATGGCGCGACGAACTGGACGCATTTGTGAGGGATTAGTCCGGTATAGTCCGCGACAGGAAGGATTGGAAGAAATGGAAGAAGGCCTTTCCCCAACAGTGGGACACTAATGGCTGATAAATGTAAATGTAAAAAATAAGTATACCAAAAATTTGAAGACATTGCTACAAGTATTTCAGTACAAAATAAATGTTTCCTTCTTATACAAATCCAACGAACGAATTTTACCTTCATTAATCTTTAATGGAAAGATTCACTTGGCAGTGCCATACGAACTTACTTAGAATTAAATATCATTTCTTAATTACTTTTGCTATTAAATCGAAAACAAACGTAGTAGGGGCGCTCATCTTTATAATTACTTGAGCACTTATATCTTAGCTCCAACTCCGAAGTATAAATGAGACGTTGGATCAACTTTAGAAACTTTGCGCAGATGGATTAAGTAGTTGGTTGTTAGATTAAGTGCAAGGTTTGCTGAAACGGGACGTGCGAGATTCCAACCTGTGTCTTCTGATTTCGCGTGCAAATGCATTACCGACTAAGCTAAGCGGCCGATGACTTCAAAACTCGAAAGTCGCGATACAAATCTAAATTAATAAAGAAAGAAAGAAAGAAAATAAATTTATTTACCAAAAAAAGGTTGCAAACCATAAAAGAGAAAGAAAAACTAAAATTAACAAAAAATAAAAAAAAATACTTATAAATATTTCAGTAAAGCGAAAGAACACAAATACATAATTAAAATATAAACAAATAAAAAGAACTTTAAAAACTAAAAAGTTCTTTCTAAAAAGTTCTAAACTAAAAGTTCTTTCTTTTGCATTTGTTGGCTTGCTTGGCGCCATCTATTGTGCATCCATTACAGCCTACAACACCTTACAAAGATCATTCAACGATGAACGTTTGTAACGAAAGCCCTTCGTTTTTGTTTTCGCCGCATTCGAATGATACAATCGATAAAATCGAGTATGCCTCTTTCTATTGCCAAATGGTTATTAATTTGAATTGCTCGTCCAAAATTGAAAATAATTGTGATATAACCCTTCTATTAGCTTAAATTTAACGTTCATCTCTTGTGTGAGTTTTGATTATATTACCCCCCCTCACTATTATATACCATCTCATCATATTATAGATTGTCGTGTTAGAATCTTAAAACTGATGGTAGTCCAGGCCAACAGAATCGGGAAGTGAAATTCACTCAGTCCTGCGACGGCACATTAAAAATATGGGAAAATTTGAGAATAAAAATCAAAAACCGATCGTGCTACAATGCGAAGTTTTTATTCAAATGTGTATTATTCACATAAAGGACAATGGCAAAGTAAAATACAAATTTATTTGAACATTTTTTTTTTGCGATTTGTGAATGTATTATATATACAAAATATAAGTAATCATTGAACTGCTTGCGTGCTTGGACTTTATTTTATTAGTTTTAAGATTCAATTCAATAATCGAATCGTGATAGCTCTGGGTGCTAGCTTTAGTTCAATATATTCGAGCAACCTGAGTTCAAATCCCGGTGCCAGAACCAATGAAATTGTTAATTTTAAGGGCTGCTTTATCAAATGATTAAGAAATATTTTTGAAATAATAAGAAAAAAAATTCGAAGATACGTAAAGTCTGCCAATCGGCAGTGGGGTCGCATGGTGGACTATGCCATAATACCCTCTTTACAGCGGTGCCTTTGCCCAGCCGTGGGACATCTTTGGGTTGTTACTACTTCATAATTAATAATATTCTAATCCGGTGGTAGCAGCAACTCGTATTCTATATTGAAATTCGTCGTATAAGTTGCAATATATCAAGAATGCTGCACAGTATTCAAACAACTTGGAATTGAATATAACGATGAAATATGTGAGACATTAGTGCAAGTCAATATTCTATCCATAACTTAAGCAACTGCGAGAGGAATATGCATCATAAAAAATTGAACATTTTTAATTTTAAGTTTTACTATGTAACAACTGCTGTCTGCTGTTTCGTTAGTTACAGTGTGAATTGCTGACTTATCAAGAGGATGATGATGATGATGATCAAAAAACCTTTGAAGTTATCTGAAGTTGGCCAATCTGCAGTGGGATCTCGTGGTGCACTAGTCTGAAACCCTTTGCCTAGCAGTGGAACATGTATAGGCTGTTACCTTACTTTTTGCTTGGTCTTCCCTGAAGCGGAGTGCGCGCCGACGCTGGCGCCGTGGAAGCCCTTCCCAGGGGCTGCCAGTGAGCCGGTCTCTCGCAGCCGTCCAGACGACAGCTTCCACGCCATCTACGACATAAACGACATAGTGCACTTCGAGGACAACGACCTCGTCATGCGAGACGGCAAGCTTACCGACGAGCAGAACAAGCTGGACAACTCTTTGGACCTGTTCAAGCCTCTCCAGGATTACGGATTGGGGGGGCTCGAGGCTCGATATGATAGGGATGATCTGGACGTGGGCTTGAAAACCGTTGACCGGATCACGGATGTGATCTGCAAATGCGAGCACGGCGGCGGCTGCGTCGGGAGCGTCTGCCTGTGCCCTTTGGGCTATGCGGGCGTGAGGTGCGAGATCACGCTGGACTTGAAGGTACGTGTTTGAGCCTACTAGACTCCATAGTGTTACCCGTTCACGGTCACCGTATACACCGTCATATGCTTCTACAATAAAAACCCAGTTGCGCCTAGACCCTAAACCCAAGACTGCCTATTAACGGGCTTAAGGTATTTGTTAAAGAAAATTTTATGAGATTTATAATAATATAAATGAATACATTACTGTCACCTGGGAATGATTTGATCGCTTCCAAGCTATTTCTAGAAGAAAAAATAAGTTGTATAATATGACAAAAAAGAGGATAGCTACGGAGTTTCTTTCCCCTATTTCTTCTCCATTAGAGGAACCTCAGTACGAAGTGGCGGTGGATTAAATAAGAAATGTATGTTTCTTATGAGGACGAATAAATGTTTCTTAATTTGATTTTTGAACGTTTTATGATCGGCAAATGCTTCATCTTCTTTCATTAACATCATTTCATTAACAATTATGTTGTTAATGGTATTGGTCGCCTGCTTGACGTCAACCCCCTTTGGGAACAAACCCCCTTTGGGAACAGTTATCTGTGAATCGCACAAATACTTGTCCCGTGTGGGAATCAATTACCCACGACGCCAATGGCTTAGCAACTACACCGCCGAGTCATCGCCGGCAAACAATTGACGGTGCAATGAATAATAATTTTTGGAAAAAAAATTGTGGGTAAAATTTTCATGAAGCGGGCGCACACTGACAGTCAAAAAGCGACATGATGACAATGGTTCCAACGGTAGGTTCCAAGTTCGAGGTTGGTTCCAAGCGACCAACTTCACGGTATCACCATGGTAACCAATAACAACTTTTTGACATATTCCTATAATTCCATGTTATTTAATTGAACCGTTATCAATTTTATTTAACGTCTGTAAATGAACATGGTAAATGAACATCAATGGTTTATGAAAACTGTTCAATAATTAATTCATCGCCCATTCTTAATAGCTGTGGACCACTCCATTCCGCATTTGCCGAGGTATCGGCTTCGGCGCTGATGTCGTGGGTTTGATTCCCAAGCGACATAACTATTTGTGTGACCCACAGATAATTATATCGGATCTGGGTGTTTCGGTTTTGTGTGTGTATAACGTCCTTACAACACAGGATGTTATCCTACAGTAAGAGAAATTATTTTTTTAATTAATTAAAAAAAAGACATTACTAAACGGTTTGTATATAAGTCGCTTATAATGTATCAATTGTTTTCAGGTCCCCCGTTTCAATGGCTCCTCATATCTGCGGTTGCCCAGCCTCGGGAACTCGGCGCAGGCGTGGCTGGACATACAGGTAATGCTGAACATCTAACTATCAGATTCGTTTCCCAGCGAATAGACCATAAGTTCTCACAAGACTACATACTACTTGGGGACCTTCAAGAAGAGAGCCTATTCCTACCTATTCTCAAAGGCCAGCTACGCATTTGCGACTCCTCTGTTATTGTGAGTGTCCATGGCGGCGATGAAAACTTACCATCAGGTGGCAATAGTTCCTTTAACAGAAAAAAGTTTAATTTTAATTTCTTAATTTCGTTTTTACGTTAACAGTGCGAACATGTCGCAAGACAGACTGAGGCATGGAACGTGCATGGAGGGTTCCGTACCATCACTACATAGTATAAATTAAAATCGTCCCGCTGTCTGTCTGTCCCTATGTATGCTTAGATCTTTAAAACTACGCAACGGATCTTGATGCGGTCTTTTTAACTAGATAGAGTGATTCAAGAGGAAGGTATTTACGTATAATACATTGCACCCGTGCGAAGCCGGGGCAGGTCGCTAGTTATCTATAAAAACGGATCATGTCTGTTGTATTGGAGCCCCACTTAAATATTTTTTATTCTGTTTTTTAGTATTTGTTGTTACAGCGGCAACAGAAAGACATCACCTTTGAAAATTTCAACTGTCTAACTATCACAGTTCATGAGATACAGCCTGGTGACAGACGAACAGACGAACAGACAAACAGACAGACGGACAGCGGGGTCTTAGTAATAGGGTCCCGTTTTACCATGTGCGTAGGGAACTCTAAAAACTGGCGGTAGCCCGGTACAACAATGAAACAGCAAATCTGTAAAATTAGTTTAACTTAGTAATGTGTAATCGCGTAAATACAAAAAAATTATCACTATCATATTTGTCACGCGCATTACCTCTATGTTGACTCTAAGACCAGAAGAGTTGTCAAATATTGGAGGCATGATGTCATCAAATCATTGACTCAATTCACTCGAGTGATTTGACACACTGCAAAACAAATTATTGTATAAAGATTCTATTTTATTTTGTTTTCATTTAATTTTATACATCAACATACAACTATCATTACTAATGCTATAGTGAAGTTCGAATATATTTTAAGATAGAATATAACTATAACTCTAACTTAAACTAAAATAATAATAACTTTTAATATGAAGCAAACGGATGACTACAGTTGAAATGTTCGTGGCTAACCCAAATATTTACTTCGAAATTCCACACTGTAATAGCTTTGCCATTAATGCGATGATCCACCTCTAGTCATAAACCTCAATACTAGTCGTAATTCGCTCGATTAAATAGTTTTTCGTGGATAATTTTGGTCTGTGGCCACGTTTTTTTTTATGTGTATTTAAAGTTTGGTTCTATAGCTTTGAGTCATAATACTGAAAAGAACAAAGTTATTAACGAACAAATAAAGTTACAGCCTACACATGTCTTAGACCCAGAGGGTATTAGATTGGTGCATAGTCCACCACCCTGCCCCAATACGGATAAGTGGACTACATATATTTTCGAAATATTTATTTTTGTTATATTTCGAAAACTTACAGGGAGCACGTGATGATTGAGCACTTAAAATTAAAAATTTCATTGGTACCGTTACCGAGGATCGAACTCAGGTTGCTCGAGTAAATGGAAATAATTGCGATCGCCCGGACAATGAGCTATCACGGCTCATTAACGAAAATAGATAAAAATTATTTGAATATTAGAAAGATAAGAGAAAACTATACTTAATTATCACTATTAATGTACCCATATTTAAGAGTACTGAATAATTGTGTTAGTTTCGCAGCGCTGCAAGAGCTTGATAAATGAATAAAATTAAAGGAAACCCTTTTTAATGAAAATTATTCTCGAACCTATAACTTTCTAGAGTTGAAAACATTAAAACAGAGAGAGAACGAGCACAGAGCTAAACGAATTCAAAACACACACGTCAAACTTCTAAAAAGATCCGGACCTTCCACTACATCTCGCATATGAACTAACTCGGCGACCAACTTTGTCGCTTAATTGAATTTCCCGGTAGGTTGTCAGTTTCGAGCGAAAACTTCACAAAGACCTCTCGGCGAAAAAGTTTCTGCGCGACTTTCTAGAAACTTTATTACTCAAAGGTATACGTATAATTTTCAATATGTTAATAAAAGTCTAAAACTCGTCGTAGTTTTCATAATATTTACCGATACGTAATAAACGAGTAAACTATTAAATGTTTTGAATTGTTTGATCACTGAAAATCGGCCAAGAAATTATTTTTATAGCCGAGTGAGCCAATGATATGTTTACAACATTATATCTATCTAAATTACATGTTATCTAATAAATCTAGTCCGCGCATTAACTGCATTTCCCCCCTGAACAGTTATACTTAACCTTTGAGCGAGAAAAGAACCAGCTCTCTTGTAACAAGCCGCGGCGATAAGTATAAGATTAAACCTTTCAAAAGTTTCGATGTACGGGGACCCCACGGACCCAGAGATTCAACAGGAAATTAAACAAATACATAATCTAAACAACCACATAAAAATAAACAAAGAATAAAAAAAAATTATGACCTAGGTGACAACAGCTGGTTCTTTTCTCGCTCAAAGGTTAAGCATAACTATTCAGCGAGGAAATGCAGCTAGCGTTCTTGGCACCATGCCGCGTGGATTAGGTTTATTACATAAAATGTAAGTTTAGATAGATTTAATCTTGTAAATATTGGAAAATAAAATGAAATGATAAATAAAATAAATGAAATGAATGTAAATGAATGAAAAATTTTCTTTCATAAAACTGTTATTAACATAAAGTTTTCTTAAGAAAGAAGATATGCTGCATTATAGACATTCAGTAGCTTCTACTCTTGCATAAATAGACTGAACAGATCTTAGCAATACGCAGAAGACTGTTATAGAGTAAAACTATTTATGCTTTGTGTTTTACTGATCGGTGAGGTAACTGGGTTATTTTCTCAATAATTGGCTCCAAGGTCTACTACATAGGCGGCAGTTATAAATATAATCCTGTATGAATCACCTGACTGTTAACAACTTGCTAACCATGCACTGGTTTCAAAGTTTAATCATATTACAATTTTTCTCGTTTAATTCCAGACGTTTTGAATGCCTTGTAATTTCTATATCCTAGTAGATTTGTCATCTTCTGCAAATTCAAATAGTTGCGTTCTCTTAGAGTGACTTTCGTGCGTGATGGAACGCGTCGTTTGTCGTCTAAGAAATGAACAAATCCGTAAAGTGGTTCCAATCCGTACAATGTGCTCGCATTGCTAACAGCCGCCTCCACTGGAGGAATATCGCAAGACGTGCGGCTGCCCTGGAAGCGAACAGCGACGACGAGACGCAATCCTGTCCATCGACAGCCACGACCACTCTGCCAAGAGTGTCCGATTAAGAAGAAGAAGTAAAGTGGTTTCGATAACAGGAATAAAGAGATTCATAACAGTTTGGAAACTGTTGGAGGGCCACCAACGGTGTTTGCTTTTGCACGAATGGGCACGTCCGTCCGGGTTAGTACTGCGAACCCACAGATGCGGTCATCTGGCATCGGTGCGATGTAGAATTGTTACAGTTTTGCGTTTCGTCTGATGAGTGAGGTAGCCAAAGCCCTTATTGCAGATGTGTTGCCACTTTATTAAAAGGTGGCAACACATCTGCAACCGTACGGGTGATGTAAATGTCCATGGGCGGCGGTTATCACTTAACATCAGGTGAACCACCAGCTCGATTGCCATTTTCTCACATGAAAAAAAACCGCTCAAATGCGAGTCGGTCTCGCGCACGAAGTTTTCCATAACATTATCTATAAGAACGGCAAAAACATCATGTCTGTTGTATGGGAGCCCGACTTAAATATTTCTTATTCTATTTTAGTATTTGTTATAGCGGCAACAGAAATACACCTATTGTGAAAATTTCAAGTGTCTAACTATCACGGTTCATGAGATACAATCTGGTGACAGACGGAGCCTCAATAATGGGGTCCCGTTTTACCCTTCGGTTACGGAACCCTAAAAATTATCAAACAACTAACAAATCTGTATATTCGATTTGCGTAACTTAAATAGCGCGTAATTTCATTCTTATCTTGGAGCAACGCCACCGGTTTCCTTTGAAATGCTTGTCTCGTCCTGAGTCCGAAGGAATTGGGTCAATCGATAAATTTTGCTTTGCGTCAGCTAAGCTGTGAACGATAAATATCAAAGGCGTATTATATAATACTACCTTCACCACCGCGCCTCCGCCCGCGTTAAAACCTTTAAATAAATATACTTTCTTTTTTTTAGTGTAATAAAAGAAATCCTATGTCCTTTTAATACCTCTGAAAATATGTGTACAAAGATTCATGATATGATATTCGGTTGAGTAGTTGGCGTGAAAGCGTGACAAACAAGTTTACATTCACATTTATAATATTGTAGTAGGGATTATTATTATTAGGGGTAATATGCCGTGATAGCTCAGTGCCCGGATAAAGCCTTTTAATGCAATGTTCTCGAGCATCTAAATTCAAATAGCGGAGCTGTGCAACTGTTCAATGCAGTTTTAGGTCTTGACACTTCACGTTCTCATCGGTGAAGGAAAACATCTTTAGGATACCTGTAAATTTCCAGAATAATAATTAAAAAAAATATTTCGAAGACATGTTAAGTCAGCGAATCCGCGGTTGGGTCGCGTTGTGGACTTATGCCCTAATACCCGCTGTAAATGATAAAGCCTTTGCCCAGAAGTTGGACATTCATAATGGTAGAGCCACGCAGCAGCCTCGGCTGTTGCACGAATGGGCAGGCTCGTCGGGTAAGTACCACGACCTCACAGAAGACCGGCGTAAAGTGGAAGTATGACAAATACTTTCGCGTTTCGTCTGGTGAGTGAGGTAGCCGGAGCCCAATTTCCGAAAAGGTTGTCAACGCATCTGCAAACCCTCGGATGTAACAGATGTCTATGGGAGGCGGTATTCACTTAACATCAGGTGAGCCGTCTGCTCGTTTGGCAACTTTTCACATAAAAAATTAAAAAATAGGCTGTAAAAAAAAATTTTAGATAAATAATAAAAGTTTTTAAGAATTTCTTCGTACTTTTTATAGTTTCTTAAGCCCTGCTCAATGCTTTTACGGACTTGAATTATCATCCGTTAAATATAAGAATTGCTATGTATGCTTCAGTACGCGTTATTGGGGTTTTGATAGCACGACCTCAATTGTAAAGAGAAATTCAGGCATTGTGAGCACATTTGAAAACATACCTAGAATATTGAATAAAAATATGATTCATATCGTAAATAAAAGACTCGGTATTGATAAAGAAATAAGCGCAAATAATACCCAACCATTTGTATCGTCAGTGTTTCGGAATACGTTCTTTTATTTTTCAATTTTCAACAATGAAAATTGGCTCCCGCCTGAGATATATCTTTTTCGTTTTCATAGCGTTGAAGGATCTTACAATTGAAACTACACAGCCTTTCGGAACGGGCCGATTCAACAGCGATATTTTTTATCTGCCACAATTGTACTTGTTTCTATATCGAATGTTCTCCACGATTCGGCGGCGGGTTTATTTATACCTGCATTGTTAGTGCTTTGTTAGTGGTTTGAGTTAATAAAAAGTTTGCGTTCTGCCTTTCATCCCGCTGCCTTCTTCGGTCTGTTGAACAGAAATTGCGATGTTGCAATTCAACTCCAAGCATTTTTAAATAAGTGTTCACGAATTTTAAATTGTGCGGTATTTCGATGGATGAAGGTGGATCAGGATCGTGCTTCGTGGCAGTCTGTTGGCGAATCGCCTATTTTCAGCAGTAGACTCGAACACGTTGTTCTCTGCACTGTGGTAGGGCCCACGCAGCAGCCTCGGCTGTTGCACGAATGGGCAAACTCGTCCGGGTAAGTACCGCGACCTCACAGAAGACCGGTGTGAAGTGGAAGTATAATACTTTCGCGTTTCGTCTGTTGAGTGAGGTAGCCGGAGACCAATTTTTAAAAAGTTGTCAATGCATCTGCAACCCTCGGGTGCAGCAGATGTCCATGCGTGGCGGTTTTCACTTAACATCAGGCGACCCGCCTGCTCGCTTGGCAACTTATCACATAAAAACAAAAAAACTATTAAGTTACATTTTATCTTTTTGTTTTCAACCCTCAAGGCTTAATTTAAAGGAGAAATTTTAGATATTAAGTTTCGAACAAAATTAGCCGCCTTTTGTTCGAAATATTTGTGAGAGGAGAAATTCATTTTACTACTTATAATTGCCACATTATCATATATTAATAACAATTAGTTCCAAGTTGAGATTTGCTTTTTTTTCTTGCCATAGTACCCCCCTTTGTACATGTACACAGAAATTGTTTACATCATTTCATAGAGTGATATGTTGTAATTACTAACACAAGGAAATCTGACCGGACTTTTTCAGAATATCATGTTCACTTTAGAAGTGACATCATATTTAATTTTATCTGACTAATAAAATTATCGAATAAAACTATTTTTAATAAATTGAACTACGTATCTATAAACAGTAGGGTAACTTCTAGCTATCTCAGCTGACACCATTTGTATTATGAGACATGAAAACTTTGTATAGTCTGTTAAAGAAGTTTTGAAAATATGTCTGTCTTAAAAAGAATATTTGTAGCGTCACAACATCCTTTGGAACGAATATCAAGATCCGAAAACCGTTAAAATTTATGGGTAAAATTACTTTAAAAACGGTACCAAAAGTTTTTAACGATATCTGCAAACGTATTTTAGTTCAAAGATGTATTTGATGTATAACGGTATTTTAGTGTAAAGATTTTGAGTTTTTGCAATATTGAAATGTAATTTAATCGAATTGATTCTAGTTTTGTATGTTTTCTGTGTAAAACTTTTAAAAAATAATTTCAGATGTTCTGAAAGTAAATCAGGTCGTAAATTTGATCCCAGTTGGGCCCAGGATATGTAGGATCCAAAAATAATTGTTCTAGATACAGGCTACCTACATCACTACCTTACCTGTAAATTAGTAGATCCATTAAATATAAATATTTCTGTTCATACGAACCGTTTGGCGTAATTAAATTAGACAACCTGACTCTCGCGTTTAGACGTTAAATCCCGCTTATTGGAAAAATATATGATGAACATAGTGTCTAATTTTAATGTATAATAGACAAACTTAGAAAATATATTCAAATACGTGTATCATGTACCACCGATATTGCAAGTTTTGCATAGCTCACGGTGCTTACGGTGGTAGGGCCACGCAGCAGCCTCGGTTGTTGCACGAATGGGCAGGCCCGTCCTTGTAAGTACCACGACCTCACAGAAGACCAGCGTAAAGGGAAAGTATGACAAATACTTTCGCGTTTCGTCTGGTGAGTGACGTAGCCGGAGCCCAATTTTCAAAAGGTTGTCAACGCATCTCTAACCCTCGGGTGTAGCAGATGTCCATGGGCGGCGGTATTCACTTAGCATCAGGTGACCCGTCTGCTCGTTTGGCAACTTTTCCCATAAAAAAAAGCTTTGTTTGAAACATTTTTGTGTAATTTTGTTTGTTTATTAATTACTTATTGTTATGCCTTAACCTAAACTCATAAGCGTTTACAGATAACTCTGAAACCGACCAGTGGTGACGGGTTGCTGCTTTACAACTCGGAACGCGCGAGCGGCGATGGGGACTTCTTCTCGCTGCACCTAAGAGACTATTTCGTCGAATTCGCCTTCGACCTGGGATCGGGCATCGCTCTTGTGAGGTTGGTTGACATTAGCGTGTTTCTAATGGCTCCTCCACACTGTGTCGGCGGCACAGCCAGCGGGTTTTAGCCGCATGTACTTGCCGCTCTTTATGATGCTTAAATGATGCTCTTTCGCATAAAAAACGGAGACGGGCTATGCCGGCAGCTCATTTATGCGGCAAGCCCGCCGGCTCAAAGAGCGGTCGGCAATGTCGACGCCATAGTGTGTATGAGCGTTTACTGCGGTATGGCGCGAAACAGCCTCTACTGTTGCCCCGATGGGCATACTAGTCAGGGAAAGAAAAGACGTTACTCGCATAGTGATATCTAGAACTGATTGGAAGTAACTCGTTGACAGATACCTAGTCAACAAACCAATGCCTAATCTATGCTTATCGCCATTCTATTACGTATCGTATAGGGCATAACATCAGAAAATTCATTATAATAGTCGTCTGATGTATTAAATTTAATTATTTCTTCATCCTAGTTGGTGCCCGTCGCTTCGTTTGGGCACGATTAGTACTTCGCGTAGCTTATTTTTTTCTCCAAGGTTATTTACAGCAAAATTCTTTGACATTGACTTTGACTTTGAAAAAAATTTGATAGTCCTTTGTATCTTTATAAGTTATAGCCTATGTGTTATTCTGTTGAATAAGCTATATTATTGTAAATTGTAATTAAAATCCATTCAATAGTTTTTGTGTGAAAGGGTATCAAATATCCGCACATCCAAACTTTCGCGTTTATAATATAAGTAAGGATTGGTAAGGATAATTTTATATAATATAATATTATATTTTATATAATTTATATTATATAAAATTGAATAATCTAATATAAAGTAAGAATTTCTAACCATATTATCAAAAATATAGAACAATTGTAAATATTTACAAAACCATTATGTTTCTGTATAAGCTTAGTTATAGCAGCGGACCCGAACAGGCTGAAGTGACGATGACAATAACGATAAACTTTGTTTGGTTCTGCACAATCGCAGGTCGGCGTATCCCTTAGAGCACAACGCTTGGCACAAGGTCACCGTCAGCAGATCAGGGCGGCGGGCGTCCCTGCGCGTGCGGCCAACCAGTGACGTCATAACGACGACGCATTCAGGAGCGACCGCCCGCGAGGTCACTGACACCACGCGCTCGGTGACGTCACACGGCGCCGCCAGACGCCTCACCCTCAAGCAGCCAATGTTCCTGGGCGGGGCGCCCCATCCGCTACCACCAAGACTCGCCCTCAAGTCCTCCTTCAGTGGATGCGTTGCACAGGTATGGCTAACAGAAGATATACTCAACCCAGCAGAAGCCAGCATATTTTTAAAATAATGTATTTGTGAAGTCCGTCAATCTGCTGTGGGTCGCGTGGTCGACCATGCCCTGGATATACGAGGGTATCCCCTTTGTACAGAGGAGGCATTTGGCCAACAGTGGCACATGAAAAGGCCGTTACCGCAAGTAAATTAAAACGAAACAAAGTTCGTCTGTGGCCTAATTCAATAAACCACGCAGCAAAGACTTCCGTAGCTAGTACTTCTGTCTGTTCTGAAGAGAATAGAACGAAGTACGAATATAGAGGAAAGAAAGAAAATAGATGACTCGTTGGCGCAGCTGCTAAGCTATTGTTGTCGTAGGTTTGACTCCCACTCGGAGCGAGTATGACCGACAAATCATTTTTCCTGCTCTAGGTGTTTGTTTTGAAGCAGGGTTGAAGTCAAACAAGTGGCCGGTCGAAAAAAAACCTGTACAATAACATTAACAACATAATTCACATGTTATAAAGATCCCATCAGAGATATGGCCAGGAAAATAGGGAGGAGTTTGAAGGACATAAAGATGAAACATTTATCACCTACACTTAAAGAATGACATAGGATGTGAGAGCAAATATCAACTAAAAGTCACTTAAAGCGTTTAATGTGTAATTAAATTTTCTATTCCTGTCATTCCAGCTTGTGATCAACGACGAAGAGCTGTCGGTGGTTTCGTCAGCACTCGGCGGCGTCAACGTGGATAACTGCGAGGACCCTAAAAACAACTCCTGTTTGTAAGTATCGTGGTCTTTATAAAAAATTCCCTCTATGACTCATGGTGCATACTGGTATCCTTATGGCACTTTAAACACTTCCAGAATTAGGAATACTTAACCAAGCATTCACTGTGCTAAGGGTTGCTCGCAGCCACACTATTTTCTTGACATATGTTGCTATGATGGGTGATATGATTCTTGATTTGTTGCTATAATGGATAACTAAACGAATTTCTTGATTTGAGTATAGAGGGTCATCTATAAAATTATAGACGTCTTAAGCCCGGTTCCTATATTCAACGAACGGCCGTTAGTTACATTGTCATTATGAAGTCGTTACAAGGAGTCGTTATGAAAGTTACGAAATTACGTAACTAACGGCCGTTCGTTGAATATAGGAACCGGACATAAATGGTCTAGTTGGATATAAATGCTCGTGTAATGCTCGCTTCCAGGGACAAGAACCTGTGCAAGGAGTCCTTACAGCCGTCGTACCAACACGCGAACACATCCGAAAACGAAATCCACCACTCCATCGTCGCGAAGAAGGGGATCAAGCTGAAGTACCACAAGACGAAACCGAAGAAGCGGCCGCAGAGGTACAAGAAGAGGAAACAGTACATGCAGAACGACGCTCCAGCGAACGAGGTGGTGACGGCGGGCCCGTACGACGGCGGCACTTACATGCAAGTGAAGTACCTGGACGCCAACGAGATCAACTGGGGCGACACCAACACCTACCCCAGTTTCAGCGGGAAAGACAGCTTCATCCACATAGACGACGAGGAGACGATAAAGAGGTCAGTTGGAGCTTTAGTACCTTCTATCACAGCCAGTTCTAGCTATACCAACGCCGGTAATTGTTGCTAGTTAACTGTTTGGTTGACGAAGACATCGATAGGCAAATGCCATTTATAATATTTTAAAGTACCTATGTTCGTGATTTACGTATACAATATTGGTTATAACTTTAGCGGAAGATTATTAGCAGCAGTCCGAAATAAGGATAAACGTTTTCGACAAAAATCTTTGGTTGTGCGGATACAGTACAAGAATTTACAAGCAAAAATAAGGTTTAATTTGAAAATGTTTTACACCGCAGGGTATTAAGAAGCAGCACATAATAAATAGGCCGCAAAGGGACTCGCAGGAAAAAATAAATTCCAAGGAAAGTGTAATTATAACAAATATAAGATAACTTGAAAAAGAACTGTCAGGTAAAAATCAATTCCAAGACAAGGCATTGACTGCGGTGAAGCCACACGTCCGGAATAAAACTACCACCTGACTAGAAGGGGAAGTGTTGTACTTGTATGTTTGATGAGATAACCGGAGCCAATTCATTAAAATAGGAGCAACGCATCTACTATACGGGTTTTACAAATGTCTATAGGCGGCGGTTGTCTCTTAACATCGGGTGAACCGCCAGCCCACTTGCCACATTCTCACATCAAAAGGTGAAACAATTTGTTGCACGGTTCCCGCAGGCTGTTGAGCTACAGCCTCGACATCAACATCCGGTTCCGGGCGTCGGCCGCCAACGGGCTGCTGGTGTGGAGCGGCCGCGCCTCCTCGGCACCCGGCGACTTCCTATCGCTGGCCATCGAGAACTCGGTGTTGGTGTTCAGGTAAGTAACGTGGGATATGTATAGGCTGTTAGCCTATACATATCCCACGGCTGGGCAAAGGCTTCCTCTGCACACCACCCTGCGACCCACCACGGACTGGTGAACTTCACACACCTTCGAAATATTTATTTTTGTCAGTATTTCGAAAACTTTGTAAATAAATTATCGAACAACTTTTCGGCGCTGCCAATATTGGAGACTGCACTTTCTGAGAAACACGACCAGACGCTCTAGCCAACTGAGTTAAGCCAGGGTGCGAAGACTCGTTTTTATATGGAGGATTGTCAAGCGAGCGGGTCGTTCACCTGATGTTAAGTGATAACCTTTTAAAAAGTGTGGGGCCCCTCACGCTCCTTACGGCCCCTACACGCAAATCTTATAAAAAAGAAGAAAAACGCAAGTCTTATACTTCCACTACGCGACGGTCTTCTATAAGGCTGACAACGTCGTGCAACAGCCGAAACTGTTGCGTGGCCCTACCCCAGTAACTTTATCAACTAGTAGACTAGACTTAAAATAAAAATAATCATAAACAATCACCCATTACACTGGTATATCTTCTAATATATAAAATTCTCGTGTCACGGTATTTATAATTGAACTCCTCCGAAACGGCTCGGCGGATTTGCGTGAAATTTTGTGTGCATGTCGGCCAGTGTGGAGAATCGGACCACATCTATTTTTCATCCCCCTTAACGTTAAGGGTGGTCCACCACAAACATTTTTTCTACCCTACAAATAATTTATATGGCAAAACAACGTTTACCGGGTCAGCTAGTGTATGTATGTAAATATGCTCCATTGATCACCACAAACACTTAAAAGGAAATGTTACAAAAAGAAAAACTTATGAGGTAGATACAATAGGGTGATGTGACGCACACCAGGACAAAAACCAGGGTCTGATGGTTCGCATTTTTTCCAGATACGACTTGGGGAGTGGGGAGGTTGTGATCATAGCGAATCACACGAAAGTCGACGATGGACTGTGGCACAGAGCGAGGGCCACCAGGTAAGCTGATATATATCCAATCCAACCGTAATATCTATAACTAGCTGCTGCCCGCGACTACGTCTGCGTAGAATAGGCTGAAGGCATAACATTCAGAAAGAAAGACAGATATACATAAAATATGTACCTATATAAATTATAGCCTATATGTTATTCTGATGTATAACTTATAAGCTATATTATTGTAAAGATTCATTAAAATCCAATATTTGCGTGAAAGAGTAACAAACATCCATCCATACATCCAAATTTCACCTTTATAATATTAGTAGGGATTGAACGATATATCGAACTTCTTCTTTCTTCTTATTTCTCCCGCTCTTAACTACGTTCGGTTGGTACAACATTTTTTTTATGTGAGAAAGAGGCAAACGAGCTGGCGGTTCACCTGATGTTAAGTGATAACCGGCTCACATTAACATTTGCAACACTCGTAGGGTTGCAGATGCGTTGCCAAATTATAACTAAGTGGGCCCCGCCTCGCTCACCAGACGAAACGCAGAAGTGTGACACTTCTACCTCACGCCGGTCTTCTGTGAGGTTGTGGTACTTACCCGGACGGACCTGCCCATTCGTGCAACAGCGAACTAGTTGCGTGGCCCCACCACAGTTAAACAACACGTGAATCTCGATGTTAATTGTATTTTAACACCAGCTCCGTGACGTCAACCTTCCTTGGGGACATACGCCCAGATCCGAAACAATTATGAATGGGTCAATCAAATACTCGTCCCAAGTTGCAACCGAACCCACGACCTCGTGTTCCGAAGCCAATTGCTTAGCAACTGCGTCGCCGAGTCAAGTTGATGCGTATACATTATTTACAAATACTACCTAAAATCTTGCAAACCTATCCCACGTGATCTCCCTGAATTGCTATAAATAAAGTTTGAGACAGATATAAACAATCCTGCTATAAATGAAATGTTTTCGCTTCTAACTTTGACTTGAAGTCTATGAGCAACGAGATACTTGCTGACCAAATCTAAAAAGTTCTAATGGCGCCGTTGTCAAGACATTGGCTTCGGCGCCTGGGGTCGTGGGTTTGATTCCCACACGGGATGAGTATTTGTGTGACCCAAAAACGCGTAAAGAAACGTTAGTGTGTTAAAGGCTATTAGTGATTGTTTATATCATAACACACTGGAAATGAATTGATCGCTCCAGGCTCTTTCCAGTGGTATTAAATATATAGTACACATGTTGGTTTTTTTAATCAAATTATGTTAAAAAATTCCCCCCTGAGTTTCTTTCGCCGGTTCTTCTCGGGTATTGTTGACAATCAATATTTTGTTCTCTTTTTTTATATTATAAACATTGCCCTCATTATCCTGTGTTGTAAGAACGTTTTACAAACATAAATTTCCCGCGGACAAACACCCAGATGCGAAACAGCTATCTGTGGGTCGCACAAACAGTTGTCCCGTGTGGGAATCGAACCCACGACCCCCGACGCCGAAGCCAATACCTTGGCCCCTGCGCCACGGAGTCATCAATAAGAAAATGTATATGTGCTTCTATATTGAATAAAGATATTATTATGATTTTAATTTAAGTATAAGATGAGCAGGATCAACTTGCATGTGAACTTAAGTTATAGTCGTTTTTTTTTTAGTTTATCGTAGTGTTCGTTTTTAACAGGAACCGCCAAGCCGGCGTCTTGGAGGTGGACGGACTTGGCTCCGTTGGGAAAATATCGCCGGGCAAGTTAAAACAGCTCAACACTGAAAACGGCCTTTACATAGGTGAGTGTGACGCCGAATTGAGTAACAAATAATATTCACTTGGTATTATAGATAAAAAAGTATATAATAGTTTTATTGTGTACAAAACATTCATACGGCGTAGAATGTCAAAATTTTGATATCCACGCATTTTACTTATAAAAAGAAATGAAAACATTTTACAAACTGAAATGTTTGAGTTATTTAATCTGAAAATGGAAATAAGAAATCTGACGAGTTTTATAGTCCGAAAAGACCAGAAAACAAGAAAGTTTAAGATGTAATCGTAAACTAATTAAACAGACTAAATAATATGTGTGTTGTTGATTCGTATTTTTTATGTTTTTATATTAAAGGTGTCAGTAATGCTTTAGTTCAATATACTCGAGCAACCTGAGTTCGATCCCCGGTGCCGACACCAATGAAATTGTTAATTTTAAATACTGACTTATCACGTGCTCAGCGCTGAAACATAACATCGTGAGGAAACATGCCAATTTTCGAGATAAAAAAAATATTTCGAAGATATGTGAAGTCAGCCAAACTGCAGTGGGGTCGCGTGAAGGACTATGCCCTAATACCCTCTGTCCCATAGCTAAATGGGACGTAAATTTACTTTAATGTTTTTACTAAGGCCTTTGCCCAGCTGTAGGACATACATTCGGTACATAGACTGTAAAATTACTTTACTGCTTTTAAGACTGAAGTCTTGATCGATGCTTTTATCACTTTCCAGGCGGCCTCCCGTCCATAGAGATGAACACAATGGGCAAATACAAGAGCGGTCTAATAGGATGCGTGTCCCAAATATCGCTAAGTGGCGACTTCGATATACCACTGTCACTGTCCAAGCTGCCACACACTATTACCAACAACGTGGGCAGGTGCAACCCGTGAGTGTGGCACCTTAGGGATGTCTAAAAATATCGATATGTCGATATTTTTGATTTTATATAGCGAAATTTTCATCCGATATATTTGTATCCGATGTATCGATGCAAAATATTCAATATCAAAAGCTATTTTTTGAAATTTGAAACCACAGAGTCAGTAAGTGTCAAATATTTAATACTTGACAAACCTTTTTTTGGGACAACCGGGTTCCTAGGATCTATATCCGATATATCGATATTTTCTCTTCGATATATAGAGACCGATATTGATATTTTTATAAATATCGATATATCGACACATTTCTCCACTATCGACATCCCTATAGCATCTTCGAATAAACCCAGTGGGTTTATTTACGCATACATAAGTCTACAAAGTGTTCTACACAGCGACCATCGAGTTTTTACATTTTCACACGCGAACATCGAAAATGTTTTAAATTTCTCATTTGCGGACGTGGTGTCGTGTAGCTCCGTAATAACATATCAAATTCATCACAATAACATCGGAGGCAATAATGTTTGTTGAATGGAATTAGTGATTCTGACATTTGGTGGGATGATCAATTGTTTAGTTTCAATTAAATAAGTTTTCGTTTAAAACAACCTAGTCAATTTAGAATTATATTAACTGTATTTATGATCTGCCTTCTTTTCATCGTCTTTTAAGTGTACCTTCAATGTTGTCATTCATCTCCATCTATTTTCTCCGTGAGGACGGAGACAAACTTTTCGAAGTGCTTTACTATCTAGTGAATATTGTCAAGAAACTAATTGTAATGTTAATTAAAACTAAATAAATATTACTTATAGTCGTACAAGTGGTTTGCACGCGTTTCTCATTTCATCAGACATGATTAGTTAATTGAATAGATGCAATTTGTTACAAGAGTGTTTATATATAAAAATAATGGTATACGTAGCGTTTGTATATCGGGGGAATTTTTCATATGGACGTGGTTTAGAGTTGTGTAAGTAGATACTAATGCAATAGCGCTTGCATATAATTATGTATATTTATTGGGCTTCTACGTTAAATGCGAGTGGGGTTGCCAACTGTTGGGAACGTTTCTCGATACATTTTATATAAAAAAAGCTACAGAGACGCTTAAATATCGTGAAAGGAACAGGGACATTTGCATTTTTATAATAATATGTTTATCTGGTCACAATTTTAAACAAGTTTCTTCAGTTTTCCATTCGTTTACAACCGACGATGTTCTAGGAAGTGTATATGCATGCATGCATGTATGCTTGTCTACGTTTATGGCACTACAGAAACTCCCTAAGCTTCCTTTTGGATTCGACGGATTTCAGCATAAGAGATGTTATTTTATTCGTCGTAAGAGTGATATAGAGTATAGAGTATAAAATTCAATATAGCGTCCGGGACAAAAATAGAGGAATAATATTCTGGTTCAGTCGGGTTTTCTGTATAATTTAATAATTTACGCTTGTTAATAAAAAAAGTATCTAGATTCTTATTCAAACGTCGTTTTCTATAGCAGGCGTCAATATCTTTCGAGATCGAGACGATTCCCTCGTTACTGGTAGCCCCAAACATAGTCATCATTTCGTTTTCGCCTGACACTTGCTTTGCTTGCAAAACAAATTACAAGTGAATACTGATAGAATACCAACCTTAAAGCACTGCTCTAGTCTCAAATAGAATCTCTATATGCAGTAGAATAATGAAGGGGCTCTAACTAAAGTGCAACTTCACAAATCGACCTATTGTGAAGTCTCACCGAGAATAACATAACAGTTTTAATAAATTTCCAAATATACAATTGTGTTTCAAAAATTTATACGAAACTATCTATATTGGAGTAGTAAATTTATGTGGAAAAGTCTTATGAACATATCTCCTAATCTTGTTTATGACCAAAACTTTAAAATTGTTTCGACGCTTTCAGTCTACGTAAACCGTACGAACTGTTGAGTAAAGGGAGTATCAACTCAAGGTATAGAAAGTGACCATAAAGTAGAATACACCAAGATGGAGCCTATGCCATAAGTTTTAAAGAAAGCGCCTTATTTGTTAGTAACTGATACACTACATTTATCAGTTAAACGGTCCACTGATGACTCTTTCTCTTATGCTATTATCAACAACTGACTAATTTATTAAACTCATATTGTATACATCACTCCTTATACACTACACACTATGGAAAAATTGCTGCCCAAATAGGCGAAAGGTATTGAACATGCGGTCAACATAAAAACAAATAATATTGACCCACGGAATTACATACGTATCATTATTTTTTTCTAATTTTAATTAACACTTAAGTACAAAATTATTAACACATTATCATTTCCAACATGATATGTAATTCCAATATAACAATTGCCCATTTGACAGGAACGAAATCAAATTAAAGGCCTATTTGGACAGCCGTACCATTAGTTGGACAGAGCAAACAGGTATTTAAACTTATATCCTCTCCCTCTAGCCGAGATTTTATTTACACCAATAATTTCTGTCAATTAAATGTTTCACAGGGTTTTTATTGTGTAACTATATTATAACGTATATATCGAAACAACGCTGTTAATTTTTCTAATTGCGTCAATTGTCTTGTCTCTTATTATCACATTACTATTGTTTTACGAACAAAAAATGAATTAACCTGCACCACCAATTATAACTGCTCCCATCTTTGCATTCGCAATATTAATTATAGTTTTGTGTTTATTTTAAGATTTTCGTTTTATAATAAGTAAATAATAGATACAAATAAAAATATTTGCATTTATCGAGGAAACATTCATTATTTTTAATCTAAGATCAATATTGTTTCTAATCCAATCAGTGATGTAGAAATATATAGATGTTTTATATCTTTAATTTATTGTAGGTGAAGGACATAATTTTGACAAGTGCATATACCTATATAAAGTAGATAAGAAATCTAAAATGAAATACAACGATTTGCGTGTACCAATTTAATATATCTTCGGCGACGAAAAGAAGTGAATATCGACCTATATATTTCATGTCACTGAATTGTGACCACCGTGTAACAATGACACCAGGATAAGTTTGTCTAAATATGATTACTTAGATCTACGTATAGCTTGATCTAGCGTTAGTTTTGTATGTGAGACCTGTCCGATGTATTATACGCCGTTATTTGTACAAAATTATAACAATAAATTATAAAAAAAAACAACTGTGAGTTTTTTACTTCCTTTAAATTATATGAAAAGCTTTTATTATTGACCCCTTTTGTGTACATACCATAAATCACAAACTATCGCAACACACTTTGCTACTATAATACAATATGTACTACTTACTTGAGAATACAATTTTATAAAAAGAATACTAATAAATGTTTATTTATAGTGCAAAATACAAAATTAGTTACCTATACATATAACTAAAATGTAACTGATCGTTGTCTGTACATGAACGTTTTTGAGAAAATCTATTATTGGGGGCCTTTATCAACGCAGTAGAACTTAAAACAATGATTGTTAAAATGTTTGTCTGTCTGTGCGTTTGTGCGCGCTAATCTCAGAAACGGCTTAGCCGATTTGAATCTACAAAAACGGCAAAAAATCGTGTCTATACATCATCTAAGAAAATTTAAATGTCTAACTATGAGGATTCATGAGATACAGCCTGGTGACAGACGGACGGACGAACAGGCAGACAGACAGCGAAATCTTAGTAATAGGGTCCCTATTTTCCCTTTGGGTACGTAACCCTAAAAATCAAGGTCCTGAGTCAACACGATAAAAATGTAAGATTTTCGCGAAAAAAAAAAGAAAATGCCAGAATTTACCTTTTTTTTAACCGATTTTTTTTATTTGTGCTGCAAAACCTTGCTTTTTGCCATATTCCGTGATTCTAGGTCATCGGGAACTACGGGCTTTCGACCCAAAACCTATAGGCTACTTCCATTTGAACTCGAATTGTCAATCATTGCCAAACATACAGACAAGACGTTTCATGGCTTCACTCCCAGCACGTTACCAACAATACTGTAGTAGATATAAAATATCATTGCTTTAGCGTTCGTACCTAATTATATTATTATAATAATTGCTCTTAAGACCAATTTTGACCCCGGGTATATCATTATTGATGATGTAGTACTTTATACGAAATTGTTATTAATGGAAGCGCCAAACACATTCTATGTTTGGCTCTTCCGTTAATTACTATCATCGTAAACTCTTTGTCGTCGAGATTTTCCCGCGTAAAAACCCACTCACAGATTGCTTTGCAACCGTGCGTCACCAGTATTTCATTAATAACAACACGCACTGGCGGCAGTCGTGTTGCTATTCTCTAAAATGAATCTGTGCCGACAACATTTTGTAACGTAATTACTATATTTTATGAATGAATCTGATTTACAATTAACTACGACGACAGAACGAACAGTTAAATTCTATAGTGGAATTATATTTACAATAAATAAAATAATATTTTCATTTAATCTGATCATAAAAAGATGAAAATTTAAATACACCTTTGCTTTCACACAACTCTTTCGACACAGATCAGCTATTAAATCTCATAATAAAGTTCTCATATTTGTAAAACAGTATATTAATATTGTTTATTATATATAATTGCAATACTGCAAATTTGTTAATATGGAAACTCTGTTTCAATTCGTAAAATTTGTCATCTTACACATGATTAAAAAGTACAAGCCACAGGCTCCTAGTGACTTATTACCTTCGATACTGCCAGCGTAAAATTGAATAATATTTTATTACAAAAATGTACAATATAATATAATTGCGACCCATCCCGGCTTCGCACGTTTGCAATGGAGATACGTATGTGGGGCAGTGTGGGTGATTAATAATATTATGATTATGACTATTCTATACTACATAATTAAATACATTATTTACTGCTGTTTTTTCATGAGACAGTGCAAACATGTTTTCTTTAGAGGTTACTCTAGAAAGTGCGAGCTCGTCGACCGCTGCTAACTGGACTAACGACGTACAGAGCTAAGATATTCATTTTAATGATACGCTGTAAAGACATTTACTTTAACTGTGTTCATAATAGCATAAGAATGACATGATTAGTGAACTTATTAGTTAGCGTCAAGTGATTACCGCTGCCCATGGATATCTACAAAAACTGTGATTGCAAAATTCAAAAAAAATTCCAAGTTTTTTTCGCCCGGTGAGTTGACTTCACGCTGCGTTGACATCACGCTGGTCTACTGTGTGGCCTTTCACCTCCCCGGAAAATAGCTATTCCTATTCGTGCAAAAGCAGAAGCAGACACGTGGCGGTATCATGGTAAAAAATTACTTGAATATCTACTTACTTATTATATTTTTACCTTTTTTAACTGTTTTGATATTCCCTGTAAGTATGAGAAGTTTTTAAGTGACAAAATAGTTAGGAACAGCTAACCCCATCTCAACGGCTCAGTTTTTAGCTGTTGAGATCTGGGATGTGACCATAACTGCCATTCGTTTTTAACTTTTAGTGAATAATTACCCGAAAAGCGTGGTAATTTTCTGTGCAATGGCAACACCATTTCTCTCTCACACTCCCTCCACCGCTTGAATGTTAACAGCAGCTCGCCCGCGCTACGGTTACATTTTACGATTTACGAACAGCGAATGAGTTTTGGAATTTATCACTTTAGTTGTATTTCGTACTGTTTCAGAGGAGGATGTCATCGACATGAACTTAAAAATTATATCGTAATAATTGAAAGTTACTTTGTAAGGAGCTACCAATGTTTTTTTATTCAATAGTTATAAAACAAATATTTGAAAATATTTACAAAAGTGATATTGCGTGTTTAATATTTTGTGTTGTTCTTATGTTGTAGTTTCTGTGTTTTCTCTAAACCTTCAACGACGTTTCGAAGTGAATGTGCTGTGAAAATTCGAGTGTTTTGTTGAGAATTGTTTTGAGCTGTATTTAGAAACTTTACGCACCTGTTGAGCGTATACGATTCAAGAACCACGCCCGGAGAACCGGTTTTTAGTGAGTATATACAAAGTAAAAGTACCCCAAATGATTTTCGCATCGCCGTGCCACGGTCATGCTTGGAATGAACAAAATTCTTGGCGAAATCGCTTCATCACAGTAACATTTGTACGGAAATATCGTTACGCTTAAAAGATAATCGTTTAAAACCGAATAGTTTGCTGAATTATTTATTTTAAAAGTTTATTTTCATGTAGTTTCTTGACATACGCTTCATGTATCACAGAAATACAAATAAAGATTACTTTCATATCTTAGTATAAGTAAATATAATTTATGTAAAAGTATAGTAAAATTGTATAAGCATAGATCCCGAAATGGAAATAAGGATATACACAAATTTTTCAAACAATAATTGTATTTTTTACTTGTTATAAAAAATTGTTTTCATTTAGTACTTCTTCGTTACTCAACATGCGATTACACACAACTTGAAAGCAGACCACCTGTGTTTATGTTATGACAATGCGGAAATCTTGCTTAACTGCCGAAACCAGAAAATTCACTTAATTAATTAAAAAACTAACAATTTTTAAATTAATTTTCAATTTGAGTGTTGTACGCAACGTAATGACGGATATCCTTAGCATTCAATTATTTTTTTCTCAAAATATAAGTGTCACTGCATAATTTTTCCTTCGTAATTATTTGCGGTAAATGTTTTCCTATCAATTAAAAATATTTGAATACAAAAACACGCGTGACCCTATTGTAAAAATTTACCAAATTTTAAGGCCGCACTTCGCAAATAAACTGTTTCAAAAACGGTAAAGACTCAGTACTCAGACCAATAAAAAAAATATTTTTTATTGGGCTAAGTGTCCTTGATATCTAGATTGTATTTTAACCGAATTCAAAAAGGAGGTTTTCATAAACTCCGTCATTAATGAACCGATTGTAAATAAATTTGTGTTGGGCTCGGTTAAGCTCGAAATCAAAATCAAAATCATTTATTCATCGACATAAGAAACTTACATTTCATGTTATCAATAGTCATATTTTTTTTTTAAATCTACCACCGTTTCGTAATGAGGTTCCTCTAGCGGAGAAGAAACAGGCGAAAGAAACTCCGTAGGTATCCTCTTTTTTTGTAATTATTTTTTTTTTCTTAACAAAAAATTCAAAAATTATAGAACTGATTTTCCTTTTAGAAATAGCTTGGGAGCGATCAACTCATTCCCAGGGGTTATTGTCATTAATGTATTCATTTGTATAAAAAGGGTTATTATAATAACCCTTCTTATAAAGTTTTTCTTTAATAAATTTCTTAAACCTGTTAATAGGCAGGTTTTGCGCATTTACTGGGAATTTGTTGTAAAAGCGTATACACCGCCCCATGAACGAGTTACTTACTCTATGGAGTCTAGTAACTGGCATTACAAGCTTGTGTTTGTTCCTAGTGTTCACATTATGTATATCAGTATTCTTATCAAAATTATTAATATTTCTACGCACATACATAACATTTTCATATATATATTGAGAGGCTAAGGTTAATATATTTATTTCTTTAAACTTCTCTCTCAAAGATGCATTCAGATCTAGATTATAAATAGCTCTTATGGCCCTTTTTTGCAAAATAAAAATTGTTTCTATATCGGCCGCGTGCCCCCATAGCAAAATACCATATGACATTATGCTATGGAAGTAACTAAAATACACAATTCTAGCCATTTTTACATCAGTTAGACATCTTATTTTCCTTATAGCATACGCTGCAGAACTTAGTCTATTCGCAAGTTTGGATATATGGGGACCCCATTGAAGCTTTGCATCGAGAGTTATTCCAAGAAAGACAGTCGTATCCACAAGGCCTAACCCCCCCCCCCCCCCCCCCCCCCCCCCCCCATTTATAAGTACATTAGTAGCACCCAAACGTTTAACATTAGGTGTTGAAAATTTCATACATTTAGTTTTATTACCATTTAATAGTAAATTGTTAGTATTAAACCAATAGACTATTTCTGACATATCATTATTTACCTCGTCAAGTGTAACAAGCTGTCGATTGATTTTAAAAATTAATGATGTATCATCGGCAAATAAAACTATATCGTGTTTACTCCCTACAAAGTAAGGAAGATCATTAATGTAAATGAGAAAGAGAAATGGGCCGAGAATCGAGCCCTGCGGAACGCCCATAGATACCGTCGACCCAGAAGACCTAGCACCATTAATTACAACTTTTTGAATTCTATTAGATAGATATGACTTAATGAGGTCAAGTGCGGTACTTTTAATGCCTTAATGGCGCAATTTCCTGATCAGTGTTTCATGATTCACGCAATCGAAAGCCTTGGAAAGATCACAAAAGACACCCAGAGCATCCTGTGAACTCTCCCAAGCCTCAAATATATGTTTGATCAGCTCTACACCAGCATCGGTTGTAGAACGACCCCTTGTAAAACCAAACTGGTTGTGATGTAATAATTTATTTAAGTTAAAATGTGTCAACAGCTGATCTAGAAGAAGTTTTTCGAAAATTTTACTAAGTGTTGGTAGTATAGAAATGGGTCTAAAATTAGTGGGGTCCGAAGTACTACCGGATTTAAATACAGGTATGACTTCACTGTGTTTCATGAGATCAGGAAATACGCCAGAATCTACACTACTGTTAAAAATTATTGACAAATAAGGTGCGATTGAATCTATTATTGAGGCAGTCACTTCAACGGACATTCCCCATAGATCTGCCGTTTTCTTAAGTTCAATGGTCTTAAACATTTTTATAATATCTTTGCATATACAGCCTGAAATTTAAAGATTGTGGTGCAAGCACTTACATTTTCCTTAAGTAATGTCTCGGCAACAGCAGGAGAAGAATTCAGCGACAATGTAGTTAAAGTAGGAATCTCACTAAAGAATTTTTCAAATACTTCAGCTACCTCCTGATTAGTCGTTATAAATTTATTATCAATGTTGAGCTGGTAGTCAGACCAAGCGGCAAGACACACTTTTTTAAATATTTTTGAGTAATTTTTAACATAATCTTTAAATGTCTCAGAATGATTGTATGACCTTTCACTGTAAAGTTCATACAATCTTCGTCTACTGCGGTGAATTCCTGCTGTTGCCCATTCATTAAAAGTCTTGCGACTGTTCAAAGAGAATGTTTTAGAAGTAAAAACGGCATTGTATTCGATTTGTATGAAATTAAATAATGAACTATACAAGGCGTTAGCATTGTCATAGTAGGGCAGCATAGGTAGTTTTTTTATTAAATTACTTCTAAACTTCTCCTTGCGATATTTATTTATCGGAACAAACACAGCTTTCCTAGCTCGAAAGATGGCTCCCATTGGTTTGCTTTCAATTGCTTTTCAATTGTCGTAATTTTTGATACTAACTGTAAACTGGAACATATCTGGGAATTTCAGAAAGAAAATGACGATGTTGATCTGTTGTTTGTCACAAATGTCAGTTGTCCTAGCAACTAAACGAAAAAAAAATTGACGCGTATGACATGACAGTATTTTAAAATACTGTCATGTCATACGCGTAAAATTGCAAGAAAACAGAAATATTTAAGTAGATTTTATCGCCGTCTGTAAAATGTACTTAAGTTTTCAGTCTTACGTTTCTTTTAGTTATTCAGACTTCCGCCGATAAAAAAAAATAATTCATTCGTGTCGTGTGTCGAAATAAATGGAGCGTAGCCGTCATAATAAATCCAAACCAGTTTTGAATTTGCAAGTACGAGGGAAAATCGGCACAGAATTGCGCGACTTAATCGCGAATATCGCTTCCTTTTCCGGTGTTCATTCAAGGCTCAAGTTTTACCAGCGCCCTTGTCCGCTTTTTTTTTTATTACTTTTTTTGCTGGCAAACGGACAGGCGGTTCACGTGATGTTAAGTGACTACCGCTCGTGTACATCTAGATCTGATGGCCAGACGCGCTGCATTAAGACTGTTTTGTTCATTATTTTCCCTAACTCTCGTAAGCGAAGCGTCGCTAACAAAATCAAAAAGGGCCCCGGTTACCGCACTCACCACGTAAACCAGAGAAGCTTTAGTTGCAAGCATGTAGACAAAAAAAGGTGTTTTGTCGGCTGTTGCACGAATGGGCAGGCTCATCCGGGTAACCGTGAAGTGGAATAATAAATATTTTTAGGATACATCTTTACACAACATTTTCTAGACCCAAACTAAGCAAAGCTTGTACTATGGGTACTAGAAAACTGATAAACACACTTAAACACACTTTTCTTTGGTAAATAAATACATATTATACATATAGTAACACCCAGACACTAGAAAAACACCATGTCATCACATAATATTTTTCCAGTAGTGGGGATCGAACCCACACCCTCTGGCGCAGGAGGCAGGTACACTACCCACTACCATGCTAATGTCTATAATAATAATCTGACGCCATTCGGGTCGTCAAGTATAATACTTTCGCGTTTCGTCTGGTGAGTGAGGTAGCCGAAGCCCAATTCTCAAAAGGTTATGGAAGGCTATGGACATCTGCAACCCTCGGGTGTTGCAGATGTCCATCGGAGGTGGTATTTACTTAACATCAGGTGACCGTCTGCTCGTTTGGCAACTTTTCGCATAAAAAAAAGAAAATTCTGAAAAAAATGTTCAAAGTTACCCATACTCACGTTATTGTTGACATTATTTAAATTCATAAAGGAATAGAACCAAACACAACCGAAATCAGGAAGAAGACGCTTTAAATATGATAAACCTTAATTAAGAATAAATAAATATACTTATTAAACAGATAATACATGAACATAGATTATAAGTCAAACTCGTTGCCCCGGCCTTTATTTTTGTTGCATTTGCCTTTGAGACGGAGAAAATACAATTCGACGTGACTTGTGCAGTTGTGACGGCAAAGCGTGAAGGCTGCGCAGTCACGGCGGTTGCGCGCCAAAGTGGACGCGTCAATGACACGATTTTGACGGGAACAATGGCGATCGATTTTATAACATAACTAGCGACTCGCCCCGGCTTCGCACGGGTGCAATGTATTATACATACAATCC